AGTTTGTTTTCCTTATCCGGTCGATTTACTGTTTGATCTACTGAAAGGAGGGTAATCAGCAGTAATTCATGCATCGTGCCACTCCTCTCGAAACATGATTTGGTGTTGAAACGAATGACATCCATGAGCACCATTTTGGCTCAGTATTTGAATATTTGGCACATAAGCGAGACAAAAATATTTAAAATAAGAACATACGTGTTGGTTTCATTCACGTGCTCTATTTTTTTATTCTTTTTATAACATGAGACGTCTAACCCAATCATCACTATCATTTCACATCGGCAAAAAAAGCAAAAAGGTCTTGCTTAATTCAACTCAAGATTACCAGCTTGAAAATGATGGTATAGTGTTATAATTTGGCATACCAATGCGCAAAGAAATGACGCAAACTTGATGAAAATTTTGGCTCGCTATTTGTACCCGTATTTGATATACAGGCCTCCAAAGTTCGGAACGTTTTTTCTGGGCCACCCGGTATATGCGTTTTAGGGGGGTTTACATAAATAGCTTACCCGTTTTCCAGCAGGATAAGAAAATGCAGTTCTTTGGTGGTCACAGGCAATATGGATTTTTCAGTTTGTGATTTGTTTTATCAGCAATGCTTGCAAAATATACCTATGTTTTTACATTTTTTTATAACGAAAATGTCATTCCGCATACTCTTACTCTCAGCATCACATTGGTGCTACTGAGATGCGAGTAGGTATTTGTCAGGGCTTGCGGAGCTTCCTGCAGGAGTTCTATTTCAAGACTTAGTAACTACTTATATAAGCCAGATAAATCAGTGGTTTCAGCATCGCTGCCCCACGTGGCTCTATCATGACTCGAGCCAATCAGGCTCTCTGCCCCATGGGGCAATGCATGCGGGTGATCTGAAATAAAAGAGCTATTCTGAGCCAGCGCTGTCCCAATATGCTGATGTGCGGTAAGTTGTATTGCTTTGTGTTTTCAGCCTAAATCGCTGTTGGTCGTCAGAACATAGAAACTTGTAACTTGCCGATAATTGCAATTATTTGATAATAACTTTCAACATTCGGTAAACTGATGTTTGTGATAAGCTAATTTTCTGACAGATCATGTTCCTTCCTAATAAATGGGAAATCTGAAAACAATGAAAAACAGCAACTCATTAAAATATATTTACATTAGCACTGCATGCACTGCATAACTAATAAGACCTAATCCGTTGCACTGAATTTATCAACAATGAACAATGCATTGTACTGCGACAAATATTTTAAGGATCATAGTTTATACGATTTGGGGTAAACCCTAAAAGAGACAGCACTAATCATAATACCAAGACAAATTTCCCTCTCTTCCTCCCTCCCTCTCTCTCTCTCTCTCTCTCTCTCCCTCTTTATCTCTCTCTCTCTCTCTCTCTCTCTCTCTCTCTCTCTCTCTCTCTCTCTCTCTCTCTCTCTCTCTCTCTCTCTCTCTCCCTGCCTCCCTCCCTCCCGTATCTCTGGTTGTCGTCGTATCTGGTCGGCGGCAGTGCAGTGTCGTCAGCAGGACTGCTCCATCTCCTCTCCAGCAGTTATCTGCCATCTCCTCCCAGGAGCAGACACACCCGCCCTAGTGAAAAAGTCCTTAAGGATTTCGCCAGAATCCCCACAATCCTTAAGGATCCATAAGGACCCATATGGATCAGATATGAAATCCTTAAGGATTCTACGGACCTTCTAGAATCCTTAAGGACGCATTCGCCGATCCGTAAGGATTTTAGGGCGATGTTTGGTATCCTTAAGGATCGCTCAGTATTCCGTAAGGAAATTGCTACTTGCTAGTGTCGCTTAATCCTTCAGGATAGCCGATGCAGCCAGTACGTCAATCATTATGGAGTGATTGAATCATTCCTAGTATTATTCCGTGCTCCGTATCCGTTAATATACGGCATGTAAAAACTTTGTGACGGACCAAAGCAGCGTTCGTTATCATCATAGGCGCGGGAACCGGGAGGCGAGGGGGCAGTGGGAGCAGCTTGCCCCCACTTTTGTGCTGCAACTTTGAAATTAAATATTTTCGATTTATGGCATTTCTCGATATTGCGAGTGCCAAAACCGGTGATTGTGAGCCAGGGATAACAATTTGGCTACCTTAACTCAGAATTAATATTTAGCTGGGATGGTGACCTAAATGTCCACGCTGGGTTCATCCAGACTCCAAATCGGATAGACGAATAGTTCTGATAAAAAGTACTTATTGGTATCTCAACCAAGTGCCACAGTATGCATGTATCGCATGGCCTCAGTGTCACCGGTGCCACAGCGTTTGCGCTGTGCTCTTTCAGAGACCGTACCGACTGGAATTTAGCGACCGCTGACCGTTTCAAAGACTGTACGGGCGGCAGCACCCAGTCTGATCCTCGCCTCCGGCAAGAGGGGAGACCGCGCGTCCCCCTGTCGCATTGTGCCGCCGCCGCTCGCGGGATGCGGACGAGTCTGTTGAGTGTGTTGTGCCGTCTACCGTCTCCTCTTCGGGCCATGTAAGTTTCTGCCATGCTGTGTATCAATGAAATAATTGATCCTAGTTATTACATTGATAGATCAAAAAACCGGCGCTGAAACGTTCACTTCAATTAATGGCAATCGTCGTCCTCATTCATTTGGCTGCGGCAAATGAAAGTACTACCGGTAGCGTCTTTTAGCGCCATGCCTTGGAACGGGGCCCAGGTAAATATAATAGAATGGATTCAGGGTAGTAGGACGTAGGTGCATATGTGATGCATTGCTAAATGAACATACACAGGCATCTAAGCTGGAAATGACTGAACTGAATTTACTCAAAGGCTCACCAATATTCTTTGGCTGGGACTACAGTCTAAGCCTAAGACTAGAATTCGTGAGCCTTTGAGTAGGTATTGTTGATCAGTATATTACTGTTATTACATAGGAATATCCGCCTTGTTACAGGAACGCAGGATGCGAGACTCGACAGGCGACGGGCGACTCAACCGCTCAAGATGTGTAGAATGTGGATGGCGTGGGAGCGGCGGCCGAGGACGTGTGACGTGATAATATCTGAAGCGTGGCTGACTCGAAAAAGTGTAGACTTATCTTCCTGTAAATATGTTTTTTTTTCGGAAGTCCTCGGCTTATATTTCTCGGAGCCTCAGCTGCAACCTGCGAATGCCTGGAGCTCCATATATGTATACCCGGTCGCCTGTGGTTGGCAGCTGCTCCATTCCTGGCAATGAAAAATGGCTAAATGTGCTTATTTCAAGTAAAAAATATAGCTTCAGAGACCGTACAAATGTGTTTGCTAGGGTTTGATCCTTACGGATTTATATATCATTCATTAAGGAATAGCCTCAAAATCCTTGAGGATTGTCGCCAAGATCCTTAAAGATTTTGCTACCAATCTTTAAGGAAAAAAACACAAAGTCCTTAAAGATTATTACCAATGTCCTTAAAGACATTGCTAGAGATCCTTAAGGATTTAGCTAAAAATCCTTACGGATTTTCCGCAGAATCCTTAAGGAATTTCTAACAAAATCCTTAAGGAATTTCTAACAAAATCCTTAAGGATTGTGTATCAATTTCGTACAAGGATTTTGTTAAGGATCGTCCTGAAGAAATACATAGGACTGTCCTTAAGGATTTTTTCACTAGGGCGGCCCCAATCACAGAGACAGCACGACCTGGCCGCCCCTCCCCCCCCCCAGGAGTGCTGTGCTTCTCCGAGCCGTCCCCACACCGGCGTGGGTGCCCGGCGTGGGTGCCTCTCCCAGCCGTCCCCTGTCTCCGATGCAGTCTGGACACACTCCTCGCCAGATACTGGCCACAGGGTGATGGAGTGAGCTTCTAATCCAGCCAGAGGGAATGCTGGGTGCGGCACTCTGGTCTGTCCAGGGGGGCTGGCTCTCACTGCCCGGTGGTAGAGAGGGGATCGGAAGAACATTATAAAATGTGGTGTCAGCTTTACGTGCTGGTGAATCTCTTTGGGGGAGGGGAGGGACAATGGTATGCATAGGATGTGAAGGGTGTGTGTGGGGAAGTGGAGAAAGAGTGACGTGTTAGCAATGAATTCTGCGCCTATGCGAGAGCGAGCATGGTGCAACAAGTTCAACAACAAGTTTGTCGGTGAGCGGATGATTCACTGGATTTCGATAGTGTTTTGCTGTTGTTGTTGTTATCTTGTTGAGTTAGGCCCTTTCGGTCTGACAAGACCATTTCAGAGCCGGAAGGATGCCAGGAATCAGGGGGAGACGTTGGTTTTGGCGGTGCTCCGCCGGGACTGAGCCCATCGCCCCGCCAGCGGTCACCGCACCAGGCCATGATGGGCAATGGGCCTGCTACTGGTGAGAAGCTACCCGCATGGGATAAAGGTGCCCGTTGCACCCCCGGAACAGGGGATGAGGTGTGGAGGAAAAGGAATGAATATCCTAAGGACAGAAAAGACGAAAAAGGGACGATCCGTCCCTTTTGAATGGAGGGAGATGCTACGATACCAAAGCAAGTCGTGGTGTAACTATGGTAGCAACATCTAAATAAATGCTTTACAAAACTCCGTTTCATCCAGCTCCTTGTGTTGATCTTATCTTCTAGGACCACGGGTTGACCATACATTGAAATCGGCTTGTTCTCGATGGACCTGCTTATAGTTTCCGATGATAATATATGGTCATAGCGTGATAAATAACTAGCTCAATTACGGACTGGACTCGAGAAGTCGTGTTTCCGCCCCCTGAATTATTTACATTTGAGGACGGCTGAGAATGACTTTTGCCGGCGAAAACACATAATCTATCAATAATCTTTCAAGGGAGGTAAGACCTTTTTCATTCTAAGTTTCAACCCAATGAACCTTACTTGCAGACTACGTATCGGTATTCCGAGGTTTACTCTGGTGCCATCTGCTAGGCCACCTGGAGTCGAGCGCTGATACGGACTCCGAGCTTTGGCTAGGTGGCGACACCATACGTTCGTCTTCCATCAACACACGTTCATTTCCCGACGCCATTCGTTAGCTTGTCGTCGAATCCAAACGTTTAGAAATTCATTCAGAATAGCTGTTTTATTCACTTTTAATACTGGGCTGCACTTGGCGACACGACAAAAACACACAAACACACCGCCTCTAAGGCTAAATTGAGCTATCAAACCATAGCTTGCTAAAACTTCATAGAGCTAACTCGATCTTGAGAGCTCAATATTGAGCCACGATTCAGATTAAGACCAATATGAGAATATGCAAAACACACTGCACTTGATACCGTGTCAAAACCATACACGGAATTCCCATGGTCATATAAGTGAGCCATGATGTTTTTTCCGCCAATGTTATTCACCAAGACACTAAAAACCTAATATCAATCGTTTACCTCCAAAGTCTTATTCTTAAATTGATGATAATGTTTCTCTGATTTAGTATGTTCATGGACTCACCCTAGTTTTGGAGAAATTGTGCGTTTCATAAAAGTATCATGTTCATCCCGTAGAACACCTCTCATTCGGTATTCGGTATTGCTGATATCGCATTAGGCGAGCACCGCAGGCCTGGGGGCTGGCAGAGACGTGGTAGTCGTGGAGTTATTTGATGATAGCTAGAAGAATTTTCCGGTAGTCTCGCTTCGTTTCATCCTTTACCGCGTCAGCAAGCGACTTGTGGTACGTCTTCTTGAAAGCATCCTTGATGTCTTCCAGATCAATCTGCAAAGATCCCAATCAATCGATCGATAAGTACAGCTACAATCCGCAAATCAATTATCAATTCCTGTACCAATAACAATGAGATGAGGGTGAAATCGTAGCAACTAGCAGGCAAAGGTACTTTATTTCGTTGGACCCCATTCACCTATCGCTTAGAAAAGAATCAGACTCCCGCTTAATAAATTTACATACATATTTCTCGTATTCAGTGCAATGACAATTGATTATTGAGCTTAAATTGAAGCGTGATTGACTGCGTAGTTGGGACTGCTTGACTGAATCAGTGACTATTTAATGGGTCCATAATGGGTCAATAAGCCATAAGTAACAATTCACTGTTATGGTTTAACCCGCGCACCGACGGGGGTCTGCGCCAACTTCGCACCGAGGGGGGGGGGGCGGATGACCGCCCCCCCCTGAGATCTCGAGAACGAAGCAAGATAGCGACAAGCGGTAAACGGCATCGGATACGCACGGTCAAGATCTACAATTTTTACTGAGGTCATTTTCAGGTCAGGTCAAAGATGACGTCACAGGGGTCGAAAAAGTCAAAATGGCGGCGCTAGATATGGAGAGTTTTTCTCGAATAACTTTCGAATTAGTCAAGATAGGAACAAACTAAGGGCATCATCGTAATCCTCTCGTCAATCCGCATCGAATGATATATATATATATATATATATGTTGACCTCGAAAGGTCAAGGTCAAAGGTTGACCTCAGGTCACGTGACTTCGAGGTCATCATGTATATCATTCGATGCGTCTTGACGAGCTGAACACAATGAGACCATCCACGCGTCTGTATATTGTTCCTGTACGGAGTTATTGGCCAAAAACCTTTGGTGACCTTTGATGACGTCACATGACCTCACAGCTGCCCAACAGCAAAACAGACCTCAAGGTAGTGAAGGTTGGTCGTATATGAAGTCATGTATGGTATATGGGGCCATTCCGACCCGTTTTAGTGGTAAAAACAGGGAGTTGATTTTTCCCCCATTGACTTATAATGGGGAGGTCGCGAAATTGACCTGACCTTAGGTCACCGATATCAAAATTCCGAGATATAAAAATTGTAGCTACTAATGACCTAAGAACATCCTGCGACTTTCAAAGGCCTCCGACATCTACTGTAGCTCTGGCACGGTGACAAAGTTGCAAAAAAGTGACTTGAGGTTGGGTCATTCAAAGTGACCTGGTGACCTGACCTTGAAAGGTAGGAGGTTCAAACTTACACACCATCTGCAAAATTGATGAGGAAATAGTCATACCAAATTTCGCGGGGCTACGCGCCGCAGTTTTCCCGCTATTCGCGAAAAACCTCAGGGGGGCGGATATCCGCCCCCCCCGTCGGTGCGCGGGTTAACAATATGTATAATGTGTTTAGATGTAAACATATTCATACTGAAGTTGTTCGAAACACTCACGGTGAAGAGGTTTGGGGAGTGTATCTCACCTCGGAGCGTGTTACCAGTATCCTGATGAGAACATCGTCTTTGGTACCTGGACCGTCCATCGCCTCAAACAGGGTCTTAGCAAAGTATGCCACCTGGTCCTTGATGCAGAGCACTGCCGAATAGATATTCATTGGCTACAGAACAATAACATTATAAGTGGAAAAGCGAAGTTGTATGGGCTTGGGATTCTCATATTTCTGAAACTCCACTTGTTATCAAAGTATTGAAACTGCTGTCGTACACTGTTGAGGCTTTTGTTGCGAACCTAAAAATATCATCTTGCCTACCAACCCTGATTTAACCCGCGCCTCATAGGGGGCGGGGGCGGAGGGCGGCGGAAAATCCCTTCTCTCTTTTTGTTGATATCTCCAAAAAATGCATATATCGTCAGCAAACTTCGAGGACCAACCCGGACGTCAATTTTACACCTGGTGACCACAGGATGTTTCCATCGTTTTTCTCTAAGCTTTCATATGTTTTTTGTTTCAGAAGATACGCTAGCTTGCCCATAAATGACGTCGAAATGACTTCATGTTCTGCAATTTTGACCCAAAGCACTTTTCATAGAAGGCCTGTAAACGGCCGACAACAACCTTTGACTTAACATCATGTGACAACATCGGTTGCACCTAAATCCAGGGCTGGTAAAAAAGCAAATTGCGTCCCCGACCAAAAAATGAGAGCGAAAAATGACCCCGACTTTTAGCAGTCATATGTACTAAATTGCTTATCAGACTCGCGCTTCGAAATTTCCAGTTTGTTAATTAAATGTCACGGCATCACTCGGTCAGCGGGTAGCGTAACAGACGAAGAACCCGGAAAGGGTAGGGGGCGCTACGATCGTCGAACAGATGCAATAGGTGTCGCTATTGTATCGGTAGCTCTCAACGACGACGGCTAGAAACTATCGACCCCGCATGAATTTACCATGTGCCCCCGGTTCCGAATCTAGTCGTTTGTCTAGTCGTATAGCTGGCTACAACTGGTCGTCAATCAACCCCGCTTGAAATAGCACAGCCGACAGCGGGGTCGGTGTCTAAGCGTCTGTTAGTATGTGTTTGATCATCTAGTTTGATCTAGTTTTCGTTAGCAATTGTCGACGGTAGTTTTGCTGTTAACGGAAGTGAGTTGTGGCTACTAATTGTTCATAACCATGTTGTAGGTATGTATTAGGTATAGGGGCTTTTTATGTCCTTGTTAAAGGGGATATACGTTGTGGATTCAATGATATCTTTTACTTGCGTTTAGTTTCTGGCTTCTGCTTTATTTGAAAGTTATTTATTACTGTAAAAGTTTACTAAATGTGGTAATTTTGACCCCGGGTACTTGAACTTTTACTGGTACTGTGTCCCCGACGACGTCAATAGGACATAACACTTTACCAGCCCTGCCTAAATCAATGAAATTGGGGCAGATGGTATAATTTATTGGCGTGACAATCGAACGCCTTTTCAATTTTGAAAATCGTTCGGTTGCTTTCCGAGATCTTAGGGGGTGGGGGTGGGGCAGCGAAACGCCCTCCTTGCGGGCGGCAGGGTCCGGGAATAGTCATACGTGGCTCAGGTTAACACAACTTTCATAATTCTTTCGGTTGAAGCATTACAAACAGAAGAAACAGCCCAAATCTGAATAGTGAACGTCTACGCACATGACCTACGTTTAAACATTTTTTTCATTGAACTTCCTCACAGGCTCTCCGTAGAAAGGTTATGCTTATTGGTAGATGAGCGGGATGCTTAGAAAGGCTAGTGCGGGAATAAATACCTACCCATCGTCACCAGGGCTTTCTTGATATGGCTTGAAAACTCCTTCTCTATTGCGTTCTCCAGCGTGTTGTCAGCGAAGACCGTGTATTCTTCGATTGTCAGTTTCAACAGAGGATAGCTGGTTGTCGCGAAGATGCGGATAAACTCGTCTTCATCCGTGCCTCCGTTCATTCCTTCTCCAGCCTCGTAAAGTTGCTGAAAATAAACATCTAAATTCAAATACCACACTATAGTTCGTTTTTTTCAAAAGGACGCTGGCTCAAAGTGCAATATCGAAGCTCTCACGTGAGTTTTGGCAGCTTCAGCACGGAATATATAGTCTACGACATGGAATGGACAAGATCGAGATTTCCTGTAACTGCCGAGTTTTTGGCGACCTGATGATTTAGTCGTGCGGATTCGCTGTGGTTACTTCCTTTACGAGGATGAAAGTATAGTTGCCAGACCTATAACTAATAGGGGAAGCTGGGGCATAACGGGGTACCGGGGCAATATGAGAAGGTGCATTTTATCTAATCAGGTGTTGCTGTCTGGAATCACTTCTGACCATTTAAACTTCGCTCGTTTGCCGCCCTTTTCCGGTGGACGCCGGCGGGAGGCGGCGTTGCTGAGGATGGTGGGTAAGGTTTTTTCATGGTGCTGATGTATTTTTCAACATTCGTTTGGTAACTTCCTAGGTGAAAATCCGTTCGAGTAGGTTTGTCATAGTCAGTGAAAGCAATGACTCTCGTCCTAGTCAACCTTTCGCTGCGATAGAAAGTTGCCGGCTGTTTTGATAAACATGAACGATCCTGCTCAATTGCCAATGTCCTTCGGGGGTTAAAACGGGTTTCCGGTAGAGGCGATATGGGGTGGTGGATTTTACCACATTTTACCACATTTACCCCATTTACGTGCCCAGAAGTGCTTTTTTGTTACAGTTAAAACTAGTTGCCTTTATTGGCCCACTCACGTTTCATAAATGCATTTAGAGGAGGGGTTGTGTTAAACGTTTCAAACGTTGTCATAATGTTTCTTCATTATAAGTAGGTACACAGGCACCGTGTATGTGCCTAATATATATTTTTGCCGAGATAAACTTTCATTTTCAGTAGCTTGGATCTTGGTTTAAGCGGCGAGTGCACAGGAACGTGCACCCAGCAGCCTGACACAAGTCCCAGATTTTCACCACGCCTTTTATCGTTTGTCGCAGTCCTCGAATGGAGTCGATGCTGGCGCCGCCACCGACCGTCCACCGCTGCAGCCAGGCGTCGCTCTCCTGAAGAAACTGCAGGTGTTCTCCCGCCGTTGCTGGATGGAGGCTGGATATCGCGCGTCGCTTTGAGCAGGGGTCGAACCGGTCGGAAGAGTTTAGCACATCGAGCAGGTCGTTGAGGCGCAGCAGGAGAGTAGCAGTCGGGAGTGCAGTGCGCGGGAGCTTGCCGTGGGTCGCATGCAATGTGATTGCTGCTGCTACTGTCCGGCTCATCACCTGTAGGGCATAGCTGACTTTCATTTTTCAATGCTGTTTGGCCTGATGTGTTTCTGGCTTAGTTTTGGAGCAGCCCGTGGGAAAGAAGCGCATTCCAGTGCGTAGAGTGTTTCTAAATGACTCCAAGAGGCTACTTCACCGTCTACTTCAATATCGTATTTCATTAATGCATTTCGTATGCATTTGAAGATGTGAGGCACGTCATACAGAGCAGCAACCTCGTGCCCGTCCACGGTGAACAAGCCGGTTTCCGCAGCTCCGAGCAGTCTGTAGGTCGCCTGGTTGTTCTTTGACATGTCACAAGTTGTAGCTAGCACAGTGAATCCCGCTGTTGTTGTTACACGTTGGACACACTGTGTTAACAGCTGCTGCTGCACAACGGCCTTGGTCGTTCCGGAACTCAGAAAGAAACCGATGGGCTGTTTCCAGCGTTTGGTGACACTGACGTCCCGCACCATCATGAACAAGGCGTGGTCGGCGCAGGCATTGGCGCGGCAGAGAGAGCCATGATCAGTGAAGCCCTCGATGACGTCATCACCCCGCTGGTAGGCCAACCTTGGTTTCAGCTGCATTTCGTCGAACGAAATGATGCACAGCTTGTCCTTGGCACTTGCTCCGGCGAACTTCTCTTTTATGAGAGCCAAGATAGCGTCATGAAAGCCAGCTCGCATCTGTATTTTTCCCATCTTCCTCCGCAGAGTTCGAGGATGGGGAAGGACGTACCGTTTTTGTAGGAACCGATACGCCCTGGGACCAAGGCCATATATAGTCCTGGGACCCTGAAAGTAGAGCGCGAATGCTCGCACTTCCTCATCTTCATCAAATTTTAGACGAATTTCATCGAATTTCATTTAATTTTAGACCAATGTTAAAACTCTAATGCAATGAATATGTATAAATGCTCCCGTAACAATGTGTGCTAAAAGTTTCCAATAAAATATACGGTTACCATTTCGAAGTCACAGTCACAACTTGGGCCTTTAAGTTGAAGACGAATCATTCGACGATTGTTAAGAAAAAATGTATGAAATGTTAAGAAAATATATGAAAATGTACACCCACGTGGAAAGAAATTCATCCGCATCCTCCGGATCTCCGGATATTCATCCGGCAAAATCCTTGATTTTTGGTTACACACGTGGCAATGCTAATCGAAGCTCCTGTCCATTCCATGTCGTAGACTATATATTCCGTGGCTTCAGTGTCTGGCCAAGAATTTCTTACCGAAAAAATGATCGATTTCAAATTGTGCACGGTAAGTAGCTGGAAATTGTTTCTTAAAAATGAACATACAATGATGACGTCACTGGTGGCAGCAGGCACCCAAATGTCCGTGCAATGGGACAAGTGTCAACGAATTTGGGTGAAACTTAGTTTTTCACTGTTGCCGAGCATAATCGAGTAAGCGGTTCCGTCCATGATAGTTGTACGTTACATTGCAATACGTGTTCGACAGCATGACGTCACCACTGTTCCCATATCTGGTTCCAAAACGCACATATGGAAATTATCGGGAAGAAATCACATGTTAAAATTAGTCGACGTTCGATTTTCTCAGGTTCAGTTTTTGCTCGTTTTGGCGGCTAAAACACGTGCTTGTTCGAAAAACATACTTGGAGCCAGCGTCCTTTTGAAAAAAAACGAACTATTATATCATTCATAACCGTAAATCATAATCTTATCCTAATAATTATAATAATCTAGTAGTTATAATCTAACTGTTGTGCGAGGACGAGCAAAACCTCCTTACGATTTTTTTAAAATCTATGTTTATTGGAAACCGGGAGACATCGTTAGCGTGGACACTGGACAGCACCGTGTCAAGGGGACTTTTCAACCGGTCATTTAGACAGGGATTTGTCGGGTAGCAGACCAATGTCTATCATGAAATGAGCCAAGGAGAGGAAGATCAGTTAAAGATAAAGACGATAAATTTCAGAATGACACGTTTTGAACAAATTACAAACACATAATGTTCTGGTTCAATCATATATTGCGATTGTGGCTCAGACAACCAAACTTTCATAACGAGGGGTTTGGTGTGGCAGCGTTACTCCTACATCACTAACCTGAGCAATTTTCTTTGCCTCATCCCGCGACGGTTCTCCCTCCTGCTCGGCTCTCTGTCCCTGCAGCAGGGCAATCATGAGCTGCCTGATGTTCCCACTCAGCTCCGACTCGATGTCTTCTTCCAAAGATCGGTCGTAGACTGGGGAAGGAAAAGCAGTTCGTTAAACATCTGATACATCAGCCCCCAGTCTTCCTCGAACATTCCTGTGAAATGGAAAGCAGAACAGCTGGCTTAACACCTGAAATATAAAAGACGTGATTTATCTTTTTTCTGGGATGACGAAGAAGTAATCAATTCTGCAGCGAAGAGCAGTCAAAAGTGCACAGCAGTGCCCAAACCCAAATATTCGGTAGGGTATTTAGAAGTTATTTAGATATGGTTATTTAGAAGGTTATTTAGATCACTAGGGTTATTTAAAAGCGTCTGCAGCTGGCTCCACCATGACAATATCATGTGCCACCATCACCCCTCCCAGTGATCCGCCCACTCACTGTACTGGTAGGCGGCGTCGACCTGCATCAGCATGTCCTCCTTGCAGCCGCAGAGGATCTCCACCAGGGTATCCTCGTCGGTACCGATACCCTTCATGGCTCGTCGGCACCACTGCGCCAGATAGTGGCTGTCGTACTCGCACAGCGCCAGAGCCGCCGTCTCGAAGTAGCCGCCCAGCTCCGACTTCAGGTCCTCTTTGAGGTCCTGCGGTGGTAGGAGGGGATAAGAGTGAGCAGGAGCTGGAGGGTCACGGTGAGGTCTAGTCATGTGTTACACAATGTGCTAACTTTCTTCGTACCGTGAATTATTACTCGGTTCTGTATCGACGCACACTAGAATGCAGGCAGTATATATTTCACATCTAAAATTGCCACGATCGATGTTTTCATTCAAAGCCAGCCTTCACACTTACCCGGCCAAACTGAACCTTGTAGCGGTCTCCGATCATCTTGCGCTCCATGGCGGTATGCTTTGTCAGAATCTCGATGATGACTCGCTCGTCTGTGCCAATGCCTCTCATTGCCTTACGCAGTCGCTGTCCCGCGGCGTCGGCCTGCGGCTCACCGAAGTCCTTGTTTTCCTTGATGGTGCCGCCCTGTGCAAATGATAGTAACGTTTTCAGCATAAAGTAACAGGAGTTTCAGTTTACCCACCTATACAGACTGCGGAATTCAACTCTACCCTTCATTACTAGCACTTGTGAGTCATACTTTATTATGTTTCAAAGAGGTGATTTATTATTTCAGTCTTTGCATATCAACTCAAGGGTGACTTATGTCGTGATTGCCGGAATCAAGTATCGACCATGTAAGTGTTCACTGCAGCTAACCAGTCACGTGCGTATAGGTCGCCAGTTTTACCTTGCAATAAAATGCACCGGTCTTTGACCGTGGCAATGCATTGACACGTCAAAGGCCATGTTTACTGCCTCACATTTGAGGCAGTAGCCAGTAAACATACCAGTCTGAAGTAAACATACATGTGTACCGTACAGTTTTGATAAAGCCGAAGCCTTATCATGAAGCAGTTATTTCTTGCGTTGTCGTTGCTTTGATGCTTCTTATATGTTTCCACATTTTTGGCTATTTATGCATGCGTGTCGTTACGGGATTCTCCGTGGCTGATTAACGATTCATACCGCTATTTCAGCCCTAGGACTGATAATAAGTGGCGACACGCTATCGACCCTTCAAGCTATTTTGCCTATGCATTGATGGGCAATGTGTGTTGGACTAGAAGAATTATAGCAAACAGTATCCATTTTTTGTTCGGTCTGGGTAGTATTGCTGTCTCTTGCTTCGCTCTAGCGAAAGGCCCAGTCTGGGGCACAACACAAAGGAAAACACACGGATCTGGACGGGGAAAATGTCTTGAATTATATGGAACGCATCTTGTAGAATCTTACAAAAATTTGACCCTTGCCCGTATAGGGGGTGGGGGGGCGAACGGACCCCCCTCGGTTTTTCGTGAATAACTCGCGTAAAAAGCGGCGGATCACGACGAAACTTTCAATCCCCTCGATTCAATCAATTTTACACATAGGTATTCTGAAATTTTTATTTCTTTACTTATTTATTTATTGCGGGTATTTGTGGTATCCAATAAATGACTGGCTTTTAACCCTCGCCCTGGCAGGGGAGGGGGTGATGCAACCCCACCCCCCTAAGGTTTTCCAAAGAGCGTGTTATCTTGACTAAATTTGACTTACGTCGTGATGTGAACACTGAACTGCTTTAATGAGAAATAGACGGCAGGGTGACAACATAGAATAAAATACACCACTTACCTTCATCGTGCTGCACTGATTACTGCCGCCGTGACAACTCGCAGCCGGGGCACCCCTGTGAACGGTGCGAGCCTGCGCGCCTCCTTGGGGACCTGGTCGGCGTCTGGGGCTGGGACGCAGTTCGGCCGCGTGCGGCACCATTAGGGGTGCTCCGGTCAGTTGGCGACCGGACCGGCCGGTCGATGGCTCTGTGGAAACCTTCAAACAAACACCGGCTGGCCAGGTGTAGGCCGCCGATCGCGCCGGACCGATCGCGCTGGACCGAACGCGCCCGACCGAACGCGCCGGACCGAACGCGCCGGGCCGAAAGTGCCGGGCCGAACGCATCGCTTCGGTTCCACGGCTGCACCTAATCGCCCGCGCTCCATAACCTTCATCCTCTTATTTACCCCGAGCCTCAAACTGACACTTCCCATGCATATTGTATACCTATTGGCTTTGATACGTCGAGCCAACTCTCATTGATTTCAGTCCTGCCCGTTCTGACCGCACAGTGGCCATGGCACATTCCTCGTTACGTCATTATGACGTCATGACCTACGTTGGTTTGTGGTTCCAGGAACTGTGTACTGCGTCCTGGCAGTGTAGCGCTTCCTTGGTTACGGTTACCACAATTAGCCCCGCGTCTTGTAAGCCCCGACTGGAAGCAGAAATACATGTCCTGTGTCTACGTCCAGACCCCCCACAGCGGATCCCATAGACGCACCAATGGTCTAGCAGTCGATGCTAATGAGATCTCGTTAGTCGCTACTCTAAATGTATTGTCTGTTTGCGGTTACATGACGTTAGGTATACGTTGGTGGATGGGTGCGTGTAACACTTGCATGGGCATATTGCGATAAAATGCAGACCTGTCACGGAGAGCTGCCACTTTCTACTATATGGCTCGAAGCTGGCGAAACGTTCCGCCGCGTGTCGCTTGCGTTACAAATTTTGAGGGCCCAACATTAGCTTTACCAGAAAAAATCGTTATAATAACCGTCATATTTGTGTAAATTTACCGCCATGAATATGTGTACAATTACCACGCGAGTGTTCCTTTTGGTACTTTTTACCAAAAACACATATTTGTGCGTAAATGTAACGCGAGATTCGCGGTAAAGTTACACTGAAAGCGGTTCTTCTACACAATAGTGAAACACTCCGAAGCTAGCAAAACACACATATAAGTGTTCTTTTACCCAGAAAACAGAGTTATTTTACACCAAAAAAAAAATGTTCTTTTTGGTACTTTCAATTACACCGTTTTTGCGCTCAATATTTCTGTGTGTGTACCTTCTCGTACTTTATGCGTTGTAGATCTGACAGACGCATGGTAACACATTTTTTTACACACCTTCGTAATATTTGCAACAATGCTTAGTGAATCCGCGCCCCTCTTGACTATCCAGCCATACGCGACCTGCCGGGGGAGGGAAGATTCTGCGCACCCCCCCCCCCCCCCGCGGCCCCCGCCAGCTTTCCCTTCGCGGCAAATTTAATCCATTGCCTTAGATCGATACCAATTGTGTATGAATTAACGCAAAAGACCTCTCAAATATGAATCCGAAATAGCTATAATTAGCTTGTAGCTGCTATACCTACAGCCATTTAACAAATGAAGAGGTAAATAAGTGTTCAAAATGCAGCTATAGGGTAGACCGGGGCAAGTCGCCCCGCCGAGGTAAAACGCCTCACCGATGTTTCTCGGAACTGGCAAGGTTCTGGGGAAACATCCTCTCTTCTATAAAACGTGCACTATACGATCATTATATGAGCAGACTGGAAAGAAATTGTGATGACTCTTTAGGGAGACATAGCCAAAAATGTGTTTTGGGAGTGATTTTTATGTTTTGTTGTCAGATTATGCATCATGGCGTTCTTTTATCGTCCACATCAGGTTAACGACTTTTATGTATTTTGAACAACTATGTATTGTCTTACGCTTATCATGCCGGGTTGGTTCGTGTTAGATTATGTCTTCCTGGAGTGCAAGGCGTTGTTCTCTGACCGAACTACGTGATGGGGTAAAACGCCCCAGTAGGTCGCGGGGCAAAAAGCCCCATGGGGCGTTTTACCTCATGTGTTGTTCGGACTACCCACTTCCTAATGTTCGGTAGCTGGCGAACGGTATGTTTCTATGCATTTATATGTACTTTTCTCAGCAACTGGATGGCAAAGGAAGTATTTTGTTAACATTTGCATTGTAATAATTTATTATTTGGCCTTGTGAGGCAGGTGAAAAACCTGCTCATACAATAGTGTCGTAGCTGAACACCTGATAGGATGGAAGGTGCTAACTTCAGTGCCGTGCCTCCCAAGGTCTAACGGACCTCTCATATGAGATTTAGTCAACTAGCATGTTTAATCTTTAATCTAGAGTATGGGGCTTCTTGCCCCAGGCCGTGGGGCGTTTTGCCCTGGGCTTGGGGCAAAACGTCCTATTTGCAGTTGCTTCACAAATCAGTTCCTAGCTGGGAGTCCGATCATAAGTGAATGAATTTGAGGGGTGGAATTTAAAGTAAAATGTCCAAAGAACGCATTGAGCACAAATTTGGCCTTTCAGGTGATATGGGACAAAAGTTATGTAGCAAAATAAATTATCTGGGGCGTCTTGCCCCAGGCTACCCTATATATTTGCTCGCCGACTTGCAAACACATAAATACATTGTTTTCAATGAACGATTTGTCATTACAAGCTGTGTCTTTTTTAAATGCTTACGCAAACACAGCTGTCATGTGAAAAATGTTAAGCTTTCATCAAAATTAAGATTATCAGTTAGCCTCACAGTCAAGGAGCCGCAGCCTTCTCCAATCTACACATATGAATCGTCTCACTAGTGTGATACGTATTCACTTGCCTGGAAACACACAAATCATGACGGGATCAGGGGTGTTCGCATTAATATCCATCTAAAAGCCCGCTTTATGTAGTATTTCGATCGATGCGGGTGACATGTCTCAAATATTTAACACGCGCACCGACGGGGGGGGGGCGGATATCCACCCCCTGAGGGTTTTCGCGAATAGCGGGAAAACCGCGGCGCTACGCGCCGCGAAAATTTGGTACGACTATTCTCTCATCAATTTTACACATGGTGTGCAAGTTTGAACCTCCTAACTTTTAAGGTCAGGTCACCAGGTCACTTTGAATGACCCAACCTCAAGTTACTTTTTTGCAACTTTGTCACCGTGCCAGAGTTACAGTAGATGTTGGAGGCCTTTGAAAGTCGCAGGATGTTAAAAGGTCATTAGTAGCTACAATTTGTTTATCTCGGAATTTTGATATCGATGACCTAAGGTCAGGTCAATTTCTCGACCCCCCATTATAAGTCAATGGGGGAAAAATCAGCTCCCTGTTTTTACCACTAAAACGGGTCGGAATGGCCCCATAAACCATACATGACCTCATATATGATCAACCTTCTTTACCTTGAGGTCTGTTTTACTGTTGGGTAGATGTAAGGTCATGTGACGTCATCAAAGGTCACCAGCGTTTTTTTTTACAATAACTCCGTACAGGAAGAAGATACAGCCGCGCGGATGGTCTCATTGTGTTCAGATCGTCAAGGCGCATCGAATGATATACATGATGACCTCGAGGTCACGTGACCTGAGGTCAACCTTTGACCTTGACCTTTCGAGGTCAACATATATATCCTTCGATGTGGATTAACGAGAGGATCACGATGATGCCCTTAGTGTGTTCCTATGTTGACTAGTTCGAAAGTTATTCGAGAAAAACTCTCCCTATACCTAGCGCCGCCATTTTAACTTTTTTGACCCCTGTGACGTCATCTTTGACCTGACCTGAAAATGACCTTTGTAAAAATTGTAGACCTTGTCCGTGCGTATCCCTTGCCGTTTACCGCTTGTCGCTATCTTGCTTCGTTCTCGAGATCTCAGGGGGGGGGGGGCGGTCATCCGCCCTCCCCCCCCGTCGGTACGAAGTTAGCGCAGACCCCCGTCGGTGCGCGGGTTAAACATTAATATGATCGTTGATCAAACATTCGTGCTAAGACATCCGACATGGTAGATCAAAACAAAAGAACTAACAGCTAACACAAACTGTTTGGTGTTTACATCGAAAACTTTGAGGCACTTGGCACTGAGACTTTGAGTCGGCAATATGATAACTCGACCCAACACATTGTTACTCAGTCGTATTCTTACCGGTATTGATTTCTATATCAAGTTTTCGCTCGATAAAGGTATTGTGTATGTGATAAGTTCCAGCACATAAACCAAGTGATATTAGATCACTCGTTTCAAAATACAAAACAAGAGGTACTCGCAGATAACAACTGATGTATCCATCTAGCCGTATCCTATCATCATGGGTTCACTTCTACCTTCACATCAATTTTAGGCAGTTCGGCACAAGACTCATCAGTAAAAAGCTGCCTATCTGGTTGTCATGCATGGAGACTTTCCTGGAAAGCTACAAATAATGTGCTATGGCGTGATAATAATTATCTAAGCTTCAAATAATGTTATTTGAAGACAGCCACTGGACTGCAAAAACGTGACAGCCGTTTTCTTTCGACAAAGACATACACGGCAGTAAGCCACATGAGACGGTGGACAACAGGCCGGCAGCTTCGAGCACAGGTGGCGCGCGGGTCGCACAGCCTGGCCGTAGGTGGCGCTCAGGTAGCAGGCATCCGAGCCCGGACCAGCTCCCTCACTCGCTCTGCCAGTGGGCGCAGGAGGCCGTCGTAGCGAAGGATGGTCACCGCCTCATCAGCCAATGCCACGTACCACGAGTCCGGCTTCTGAAATCGTCAAACACTCGGCGTTAGGTGTTTCCATGCATCGAAATCTGAAAGGTTTTGTGGCAAGTCGTTTTTGGGTGTCGGTATTTTGGGAAGACGGTAGGAGGACGCTCGCTAAAAAAGCAGCAAGTTTGGAATTTGGTTCTAGGTAGTCCACTACTTTCATTGTAGGAGATTGAGCATGAGTTAAAGATAAGAGTGTTCCTTTTTGATTGACTGAATCAATGCCCTCAAAAGCCAATAATTTCATGCCATTAAACCACGATTTATAAAGAGTAGGTACACAAGCACCATAACTTGGAGACAAATATTAGGTAAAAATGGTATATTATATGAAGATTGAAATGAGAGCAGATGGTGATTAGATAAGCTTCTGCGTGTTATATGCAAACATGGATATTTTTTAGAATTATCAGAAGCTTCTTAGCAGTGAAGTTTATGAAATATTTGCTTGACTTATGGAAGACTGCAGGTGAAAATTCGACACATCAAAAGCAGACGCGCAAGCTAAGGAGGACAAATTGTCAGCAAAATATGTCATGTCGGTTCTATAGCTTTTGAATTGAAAATCATATCAAATATTGTACCGCTAAGCAAAGATACTAGTAAGTTCTTTCTTTCTGGCTCGAGTTCTCGTATGCAAAATGATAAGCAAATTTGTATTGCCTGTTGCATCAAATCAAATGGAAAAAGCAGCGCAACAAACTATCACTATCAGGCATATTGAAAATACGACTCATGTGCCTCAGTGCTGAATTCCGTCTAGCTATGTATCTTGTATAAACCTATAGTATCTATGCGTGGAAGGGAGGAACAATGTTGAATCCTGACCGAACAGCTGGCAACTAAATACTAATGCGACGGATTATTGGAATGCTTCTGGTGAGTGTTGTTATGCTTGATGTATGCTACAACGAACAGTCAGGTCCGTATATGTATACTGAAACTTACATCGTAACTCAGATGGAGTTGCTTTCTTTCTTTCAAAAGAAAGGGACAGTGTTTCGGGAGCTCTCGTCTTTGGGTCTACTACCACTAAATACAAGCACAGACCAATCATAGGATACAGCAAATGACACATCTTTGAGGAACAGTTATTGCTTATTTACGTTACTAACCGGCAGATTACAGGCACTTAAACAATTACAGTTTAACCCTCGCCGGCCGAGGGGGGCGGGTGCCGCCCCCCCCCCGTAGGTTTTTTTCGCGATAGCTCCGAAGATAGAGAGCTGAAACTTGGCATACATGACCTTTGATTCAAGCCAGATCTTTTGAAATCAACCGCATTTTTGGGTCAGGTCAGGTCACTGACCTATGACGTCATAAGTGAACCTCTGCACGGTCTTTAGGTGTCGCAACTTCGCAACGCCCTCACTGCCAGAGGAGATGTCACAGGGAAATGAAACTTGCAGGATCTAGTATCCATTATGATTGTGTGTTTTTTATATGATATCCATTATGAGTCTCACAACTTTTTGATCTCAGATTTTTCCTAAAGGTCATATGAGGTCAGGTCATTTTCGTGTCCTCACCATTATAAGTCAATGGGGAAAAATGAAAACTGCTATTCTGGCGCCGGGAACGATCTCCAACTATCTCAAGCACACAGAATCGTGTTTTGATGCACTCCTTGCAAGGTTAGATGCGTCACTTTTGCAATGTTGACCTTGCGTGACGTCATTTATGACGTCATCAAGGTCATATTCATTTTTCGTCAATAACTCTTGATCAAATTGAGCTAGCGAGTCGGGAAAGCCACCAATGGACTCCGGAAGACCTGCCGAATCAAACGATATGCGACATGACCTCTTTCGACCAACTTCGTGACCTGGGAGTACTGACCTGACCTTTGCCTGAGGTCAACACCCCAAGTTGACCTGACCCGAACAAAAAGTATATCATTCGACGCGCCTGAGCGAGGCGAACACGATGCTGCCAAAATCGCGGCTCTGCGGCCGTTTTTGCGAAGTTATTCACCAAAAACTGAACCGTACCTTAGGGCACTTGACCTGACCTCAGAGGTCACCGGTTGACCTAGGACCTTAAAATCGGGTACCAATCTCTGCGTCTCGTGACGGCGCACACGCTCGTTTTTTCCGCGACGCGCTAGCTCCACCAGGAGCAAAGCGGCGAGGGGGGGTCGTACCGGCGCCCCCCCCCCTCGGCCGGCGCGTATGTAGAAAACCAATAGGTCCGGCGAGGGTTAAAGATGGTGTCTTTCGATGTAACTTTTGGTCGGCTTCGATACAACAACTGTCAAATGCCAACGCTATTAAAACTCAAGCGAAGCTAAAACCACTTTCGGAATCTAGCTAGGTCAAAGTTTTCTCAGATGTTTCAGGTGCTGCAGCATCTTCAAAAGGGACATCCATGGATTGGTAATCAAATAACCTTCATCGATGTAAGCAACATCCATTGTGAAGTGTTGATGGCCTTATTCTGATATTGGGGCACAAACACGAATTGACGAATGTCTCGTTATTATTTATCGCCCAGTAAACTGCGCCCTGATCGACTTTTAATACAGCAGTTCTAACAGACCAGCTGCAGCGAAGAACAAGTCAAAACCTCAGATGTAAACTAGATCATCACATACAGGGTTGTAATCCATGGATGTTTTCTCCTCTACTCTCAGCGTTACAGCAAAGGCGGGCTTTTCGGCAAACGACTGGTCAGGGAAAATGCACTTCACACAGCTGAGCTTCCATTTAGTGAACACTACCTGCCGGGGGTCGCCAGCCAGCACAGTGCTCTCGATCAGGTGGCAGAGGAGCTTCCCTGCAATCACGTCACAGAGGCGGCCAGGGTGTGAGCACCGGCTGACGTCACTGGTGACGTACATCAGCCTGACGTCGTGACGTATCGGTGACGTAGGGGTTAGTGCGGGCAAAGAAACACTTTGGAGTCGACTCATGTCAGCGACAGTTGTCAGTAACTCAACGGATTTTTCTTATCGATGAAAATTAGCCCGCGACCTGGTGGGGGGGGGCTATTTTTTGCCCCCCCTCCAGACTTTTCGATATATCTCCAGAACCACTGCGCCGATCGTCACCAAACTTTCAGTACCCTCCCGGACATCAATTTTACACATTGTGACCAAAAAATTTTCCAAAGGCTATGATAGGTTGGCCGGAAATGACGTCAGAGTGACGTCATGTTCTGCCGTTTTCGACCCAAAAAAGGGTTTCGCGGGAAGAGCTGTCAGGCCTATATCTTTGCAAATACATAAAAATGATACAGACATAAAAGCTGTAGAATGGACAGGGCTACAAAACTGCTATCTCGGATTTTTGAAATTTTTGGATTTTGACCCCCAAAAATAAAAAAATAGATTTTTTGAATATAATAGCCAAAAAATCCAAAAAGTTTTTTTGAATTTCGAAAAAACCGGAATATATGTGATAGTCCTTACCGCCTTCTATCTACATACCAAATTTGAGATCGATACCTCTTTTTTTGGCCAAGTTATAGCGAAAAAACTGTTCAAAATTGATGACGTCAAATTTTCAAACTCAATTTTCAGCAATTCTAGACCTCGTAGCGCAAAAGAAAGACCACCATTAGACTCCCCGTGACGAGCTGCTTCGAATCAATACCCATTTTATGCAAAAATATCAACTTTGAAATTTGACCTTTTTTGACCTGACCTTGACCTGACCTCCACCAGAAAGTGACCTAAACCGTACCTGCTGGTCTTATAACCAACACCATTGAGTTGGAAATGAAAAACTGGCCATAAAACATGCATCGCATAACCTTAGTAAAGTTGGGTTCATGTGGTGACCCTTGGTGACCTTTGGTGACCTGACCTGTGACCTGACCTGGTATGACCAGTGACCTCTAACAGCAACATATCTACTAGGCAACTGACGCCCTATCGCTGATTCCCGACAAAATGCGTTTTCCTCGGTGTTATAGCGCATTCCCTAGAAGACCCGTGAACGGTGAAACATTTCATCTTTGACCTGACCTGTGACGTCATCGGTGACCCCGAGGTCAATAAAATTTGGTTTCCCTTGACAAATTTGACAGGCCTTTCGAACGCCGTTTGAATTTTTCGGATCCGTCCAGTAGTTTCGGAGATACGAGGGGGGGCAAAAAATAGCCCCCCCCCCACCAGGTCGCGTTATAAACAGACCCCACCAGGGCGCGGGTTAGGAAAACAGTAGGTCTCTGTAGGTCTGGAGGCCTCTGTTTTTTTTTTCAACTTCACTAAGTTGTTTTATGACAAATATCGCCTGAAATATGAGTCGATCCATGATCTGTGGCCAGTTCTATGTAGCGAACATGAGCCCAAATAAAATGCAAACACGTTTTTGCAGGCTTTCACATATTCTCACACATGTTCGGTTCAATTCCACGTTATAGGTACATACATAGGTTGCTTGCAGAATATTGAACAAATTTCAGTGAGTCAAAGTTCACGCATTTCAGTTCAGTGAGACACATCAACGCAGTCAATTGTAAAACATGCATGCGAGTTTTTGCGAAACATGTGTAACAACGCTGTCGTTGCCTTTATTCTATTTGTAAAATCAGGGCATGCATTACTCTATAATTCCTACAATGTTACATATGTGATTAGATAACATATTTCTTCGTTGAAAAATTTAGTGATTAAGTTCAGCCATGTTCAGCCTAAGACCATTTGTTTACAATACTACATAATTTTAGATTGAAAGTTTGCTTACTAAACATAAATTTACTAGAAGTAGTTGAAAATGTTAAATGCTCTTTTGTTTGAGATGTTGACATTGTCTCGCTGCAAATACGTGCAGTGTGAAAGTGTACGCAATGTAAAACATAGTCTGACAGTTGTAGACAGCTGTGAATTTACCTCTCATGCGGGTGGGGCCCGGATCCAGCCTGGAAGTGATATCCAGCAGGCCTTCACAGAGACGTCGTCGCTTTCTGTTGTTCTCGATAACATCACCTGTAAAATGAGCATCAAACATTTCAAAGAGCAAAGTTCAGGACCGCATTCTCTAAAAATCACATTGCTCCGCTCTACATGTTGCCTCTACATAAACAATTGTTCAATTAATCCCCAATGGCGTTCAACTGTTCAGTCTGTCAGGGATTCCGCCGCATGCAACTCACAATAACAAACACCAAGTCACTATCTGGTAGCGATCGATATATTTAACCCTGCCATTTTAGTATTCTAATCCTGCCGTGGCATCAACCCCGTTTGAGGTGAGGTCTTTCAGGGCATCTGCGGGCTGGCTTTGCGTCATAGCCCACCTCCAGCCATGGCGCTCTGTCTATTTTGAGCGCCGAGACATCTCCAGAACATCGGGGCTGGATTGACGCCGCTGCGGTCCGATGCCAGCTAAATCGGCGTTTTCCTTGCCACTATCTGTGCCGCTATCGGAAACAAAACACACGCTGGCACGGCAGCGAGCTGTGAGTCAGCGTCTCGGCCGGCCGCGCCGCCATGGAAGCGGACTGGGGGCAGGGCTGTACCATAGACCCCTTTAAACCCCTTTAAACCCCTTTGTTTAAAGGGGTCTATGGCTGTACAAATAGCTGTGAGTGTTTGGTGCCTCGCCTGTAATGCCTTTGAAAAGGTTATGAAATATTGCTGGCTGATTGTGACATCTTAAAGAAAACTTTGCTTAGCCGGACGCATGAAGAGTAAATAATAATAAGTATTGAAAATAAATATCTATAGCTTTTACACTTTCTAGATATGGATTTGACTTTATCACAAGATTATAATCACCATTGTCCTGAAACATTCAGATTGAATTCGAGTCATCTGTTTGTGTCTTGAAACAAGCTAAACGCCAAAAACTTCGACAAACTTTGTAAAGCATGTCGGGCTTCGGCAAACTTGCAAACAACACGGACTGTTGGGGCACCCACCTACAATGCTAATGTGCCTAAATGCAGAGTCTAAAGAGACGCTGTCTAAAGAAGTTTCCAAACGTTTCCTGCACAGCTGACTAGAGTATCTCTCAACTAAAAGTAATCACACAATTTTCAACAGCTAAGCTAAGCCAAAATATTGTAGCTATAAATGACACCAGAAGTCATACATTACTCATACCTATATATGAAATATCTTTGATCTCTCAGCCCTGATCATTCATCTTCCCTAGAGTCTGCAACTGCCTTCGAAATGATGGGTCGTTTCCAGGTGACGTTGAATGCATCTATTTGGAGCTGCAACTCATGGCCCTCATTTGTCAACTCAGAGACAAGCTGTAACTGAGGGAGTTTCTCAGCGACTTCTCCTACAAGTACATGTTCCTAATGATTCATGATAATTATTTGTGATTTCCTGTCAAATTATGACTAACTGATTCTGCATGCCTTCCAGTTTTCATAACACAAGTCAACCTACCTTTACCCACCGCTTTGTCTTCAGACCGCTGCTCTCACCTTCCTTTCTCTCCGCGTACAAGTCCACAAGCAGCAGACGCGTCTCCAGCAGGAAGTGATGGTTCTCAGCCAGCACCTCACGGTGCGCCTCCGCCCAGCGTTCCGCCTTCTCGACGTCCCGCAGCTCCAGCGTCCTGCCCAGCGTCATCGCCAGCATCTGGTGTAGCGTGCGCACCTTGGCTGCCGGCATCCTGAACCCACACCGGTCGCATTCCCAGACTTCGTCGTCCCCAACACGACGGCTTGATCGTCGACCTCCGCAGATGCTGCCGTCGTCGACATCTTTGTGGCAGGCCAGAGACGTCACCTCAGCGTCGAGCTCGCTAGGCTGTTCGCAGCGACGACAGGTGCAGTGGAAGAACTTTGTGGCGGCGAGGTGGGAGCGTCTGGCGTCCGTTCCCCAGAGCAGGGAGGTGTAGGACGTGAGGACGCGCTCTCCGGCTGCTATGGGTCTGGTGGCGATCAGTGTGGTCACACCAGAGTCGAAGAAGCGGTTGGTGTTTGGGGAGCAGTCGTGAGCCATCAGGCAGAGGAGTGGGTATAGCGCTCTGGCAGACATGCCATCGGCAGCCGATACCGCGAAGGAGTTGGTGTCTAGCACCCCGGCGATGTGTGCTAGAGTTCGCACGGACTCATTCAGGCCGCAATCGTTCTGGATCGGCGCGATGATGTTCTGAAGACATCCCTGCAGCCACGGAGTGCGGCCGAGATTCGTGACGTTGTCCTGGAGACAGTCAACGGCAGTCCAGACTTGGGGTCGTTCTTTGCGCAGCAGAAGGCAGCGCAGGACTCCCAGCACCGCACCAGGCGCACGCCATGTCTGCCACGGACGCTTCTCGCGCAGCGGTGTCAGGATTTCGCACTCTACATGCAGCCACGAAGACGACAGATTGCCGCTCTCTACCTCATCCGCACAAATATTACAGAGCGGCCACCCACAGCGGGGACAACCTTCGGAGCCGGCAGGACGGCGCTGACATCCGACACAAAGACGGCCACTCTGAGGCGCCGAGATGGCCTGCGTCTCGCGGGCGATGACCTGACCCACTGCGAGGTCACGGGTTGCTACCAGGTGACGTCCCACACACTCATCAAAAGCTATACGCACGTGTGCCTCCTCGCCGACAATGTTGTGAAGGTAGTCGTCCAGGACAGACACAGAGCCGATTTGATCCATCGCGATTTGTGGTGTCCTTGATAGACGTGTCTTGATCGCATTCAACCAGTCCAAAGCTGATCTTTGACAAAGTAGACAGCCCACGTTGTGCCAAGCCGAGAGCAGGCTACGTACGTCGCGTTCGCGATCGCGGTTCGCTCGTTACTGACATAGCGAGGGGTCGGCGGCGCGCCTGGCGCTGCGGCTCTGCCCCGGGGGCATATTTTTGGCAGTGCAGGAAGACCGATGGCGCGTCGGGCAGTCGCGGTCGGCACGGGGAAAACGACCGTCTGGTGTGCAGGCCCCGCTGAGCAGAATGTCGGACCGTATTACTCACCACCACAACTAGCTGCGCAGTCCGAAAACTTACGCTGACAAGCACCTGGAATAAAATGCAATGGAATCACGGAATCACTTATTCATGGTCGGCTAACTTATCTCGGAAATAGGAAACACTTGCATAAATTAATGCCTTTATAATTGCTTGTCTAATTCAGAGCTATGCGTCTTGCTGACTTAAGGTAAAAAAGCAAAAGAATTCTAGCCTGTTTTAAATTGATGGCTAAAATACCTGGGTGAATTGACAACACATATGGGTAAACATGTTTTACTTTATTTTTACCTTGTGACTGCTTCTCCAAAGCCCGTTGTGTTTCCGTGGGTAAGGCCACCTACACCGACATGTGATCTAACAGCATCCACCGCGTCACAACATGGACGACCTTTATCACGCCGCGCCACTATTTACCCGGCCCATTTGGTGAGTTTCATCAGCGCTCGAGCGGAAAGCGACAGTAACAGTCGCAACGAGCCGTGTTGTTGTTGGCTGGCGCCCATGTCACCCTGCACGGTGACTCAGGCTCACCGGCTGGTGCGGTGTTTAGGTCGTAACCAGGCGGCGTCTCCAGAAGAGTCGAGAACTCTGTAAAGTGATGGAAGTTTGAGAACCAGCGCCTTTTTCCGGAGAGATCGAGAACCAGCGCGATCTGCAGACGCTCGAGATCTGTGGAGCATGAGACTTACACAGTCAACAAGTGTCTCATTGCGATGCGTAAATTATTACTCTATATAACAGGCTCAGTCCGGTAACAACCGTCTCTCGAAATATGCAATATCAAGTCCTCCTCAGCTGGTGTCAACTGAAACTGATGAGGCTTCATAAGTCATTTACGCAGTTTTTGGTGAAACATTGCATTAGCAAAATTAGATATACCAGAACAGTAAACTACTCGTATACAGTTGGATTGATTATCACCACAATGCTAATACTTATGTGACCAAACAAGACTAACCATTTGAGAAAATGTGTCTTGTAATCCAGCCCCGGACTGAAACCGTTTATCGGTTTGCTTACCTAGAATTATCCAGTCAGAAACTTCAAGCGAAACGATGTAAAACAAATATTAATTATGGTTTGAACCAAGTGCTACAATGCCTACGCTGGCGGCCCTATAAAAGCTGACAGATAAAAACATCATTTTTTATAAATGCCTTGGAATAAGGAACAAGAGAATGCAATCAACGATAGTCGATATCATAGAAAAGAATGCATTTCGACACATGCCAATCAGTAAAACTTATACCTACTTAATAATTTCAGTATTTCTTCTCCTTGCCAGATGGCAGCCAGTCGTCCGATTTCTCCGCATTACCTTTGTGTGCGCTGTTCTGTCCCCGTCTGGGGTGGGTGTGACAGTTGGCCTGAGGCCATCCGCCTGCGGCCCGCATTCCGTCCTCCCGCGCCCTTCCTGTCTGACCGCGGGGACACGCTGCCATTTCCGCATTCTGAACATGGTTCCTCACATACGAACTAGCTCGCAGATATGGGGTGAGAATGAGTCTGATAGACAGAGTCGGTGGCACGTGGTGACACGTGTCCTAACCACGTGACACGTGCGTGGTGACACAAGCCTTGTATGTGTGCAACTGCACATGTGTGGCAGCACAAGTTTTGTGTGGTAGGTATGTAAATACATGCGTGGTGACACGGGTGTCTTACGATATATGTGGTCTAACTATGTAAGTTACGACAGGTGGCTTATGCGTGAAGAGCATGGTACGACGACAGAGGGGTTGATGAAGCTAATTGATCAGATTCAGGTGGACTGATGGGTCACGGATTCCAGTTCCAAGAGTCAGATAGGATCATTCGCCTCAGATTCGGATTGACAGGTAAGGAGCTATGCTATCGAGTATCGTGGCATACTCGTAAGCTATTCGGAAAGACAAAAAACGAAATGGAAGCCGTTTATGTATAACCCGACAGCCGGGATTGGAAAAGATTCGTTTCTGAGTCGAGTCACCTGTCACGACTAAATTTGGAGGCGTTAATCATTTCGAAACAAAGACTTTGCAGCTGTATAACGCTTTCGATATTCAAATCAATATTTAACCCGCGCCCGGAGATAACCCGCGGGGTCTGTTTATAACGCGACCTGGTGGGGGGGGGGGCTATTCCCCCCTCGTATCTCCGGAATTACTGGACGGTTCCGCAAAATCCAAACGGCGTTCGAAAGCCCTGTCAAATTTGTTGCAGGAAATTCAATTTAATTGGCCTTGGGGTCACCGATGACGTCACAGGTCAGGTCAAAGATAAAATGCTTTGCCGGCCACCGCTAGGGAATACGCTATAACATCGAGGAAAACGCATTTTGTCGAAAATCAGCGATAGGACGTCAGCTGCCTAGTACCTATGTTGCTATAAGGGGTCACTGATAATGCCAGGTCAGGTCACAGGTCAGGTCACCAAGGGTCAGCCACAGGAACCCAATTTTACTAAGGCTGTGTGATACGTGTTTAATGGCAAATTTTCATTTCATACTCAATGGTGTTGGTTATAAGACCATCAGGAACGGTTTAGATTACTTCCTGGTGGAGGTCAGGTCAATGTCAAGTCAAAAAGGGCCAAATTTCAAAGTTGATATTTTTGCATAAAATGGGTATTGATTCGATACAGCTCGTCACGGCGAGTCTTATAATTGTCTTTGTTTTGCTCTACGTCGTCTATAAATGCTAAAAACTGAGTTTGAAAATTTTACGTCATCAATTTTAAACATTTTTTTTCGCTACAACTTGGCCAAAAAAGAGGTATCGAGCTAAAACTTGGTATGTGAATAGAGTTCGGTAAGGGATGTCACGTATAAATTTTTGATTTTATAATTATTTTCCCAAAAAAAATCAGTTTTTTTAGAAAAAAAAGTTGGCCAAAATCGAAAATTTAAAAAAATTATATTCCGTTTGTTTCGAAAATCAAATTTGTTTTGGATTTTTTTGCCAATTATATTCAATTTTTTTATTTTTGGGGGTCAAAATAAAAAAAAATCAAAATTTTGATATTGCAGTTTTGTAGCCTAAGTAATTTTACATCTTTAATGTCTTGAATGTTTTCTGTATCTTCAAAGCTAGGCCTGACAGCTCTTCCCACGAAACTTTTTTTGTCGAAAACGGCAGAACATGGCGTTATTCTGACGTCATTTGCGGCCAACCTATCATAGCCTTTCAAAAAATGTTTGGTCACAGTGTGTGAAATTGATGCCCGAAAGGGTACTGAAAGTTTGGTGACGATCGGCGCAGCGGTCCTGAGATATATCGAAAAGTCTGGAGGGGGGAACAAATAATAGTCCCCCCCCCCACCACCACCAGGGCGCGGGTTAATATGTCTGTCGGGATATCATATGGCTGTCAATAGTTATTTTATCAGTCACTGGGCTTTGCATGACAAAGCAGACCAGCGACACTCCAAACTAATGGCTAATTCTCCACAATGTAAAACAAACACGGAGCTTCGCCGGCGCTGCTTTTTCAGCAAGCTGTTTATATTGCCATGCTAAGCTTTAGAACGCTTGAAGAGACATTCTGCGTCACACAATTTCACAGTTTTCAATCAGGTTTGGTAAACTAATCATATTTTGTTCCTGCGGAAATAATGAGATTTGTTCCCCGGTATCGTCCATATTGTTACGATGGAACTGCGACAGCGATTAAGTTGTTCGTCAGCCACGAAATAGGCAATATGCTTTTAATCAGCTATCGTAAATATCTTCTCTTCTTTTTTTTTTGCCAAGAGCGCCAAGGATTCAAGGTGTTTGTGTTCAAACATAAAGCACTTGCTCTCATTCGCGTAAAATTCTTAGGCTCATAACAGTCACAAATGAAAGCACCAGGCACACAACTTGAACTAAAGTATAGGTACTATCGATGGTTTTAGAATGTCCAATGATTGGCTCTTGTGAATGCCCTTGCGTGGCCTAGCATTGTTCTGCAGGCATTAATGTATGTACCTACCTGGCCCAATGTATATGTATGTACTGCTACTTGTTATAACTGCCACCTCACCTTGTCACCTCACATTGTGTGTGTGATGCAAATAAATGTGATGATGATGATGATGATGATAAAGGTGTCGAGCTTCCCATTGATATATCGTAATGAAAGCACGCTAGCATCGCTTTAAAAACATTACTTGAAATGAGGTTCACAATATTTGACAGAATATGGTTTGCCGCATTTTTGGCACTAGTTCAACCAATCAAACGTTTGTTTCGAAAGCTTCAGTGAATAGTGATTGCCAGCAAGATGCAACGTGTTAAACGCATATTTTGCATTTGTAACTTGAATGCCTGTGTAGGCATTCAATGTGTTACAAGTCTCGGAAACGTGACCTATGTTAGCCTGTGCAGATAAAATCGCAAATGGCGTTGAGCGCAGTCCGATAATTGCGTGCTCCTGACTTTCTAACTACATAATGAGCTTAATCATGTGCAGGTGCACTCCGACAGAGGGCCCGAAACGGTTCCCTGTCCGACCTTTTCCGTAGGTATACTCGTATATCTCCTAAACGACTGCAGATATCGTCACCAAACTTTCAGGACCCCTCCGGGCATTAGTTGTACACAATTTGACCAAGCTTTTTCCAAAGGCTATGACAGGTTGGCCGTAAATGACGTCAGAATGACGTCATGTTCTGACATTTTCGACCCCAAAAAAGTTTCGCGGGAAGAGTTGTCAGGCCTACAGCTTTGACCATACAGATAAATGTTCTCGACATAAAAGGTGTAGCCGTGTAACGGGTATAAAAAAGCTATCACGGATTTTTTATTTTTTATTTTCATCACCATAAATATCTTTTTTGGGATATAATAGCCAAACAGTGCCAAAAAATATCCGAATTTCCAAAAAAAATGGAATGCATATGATAATCCCGACCGATTTCTATCCACATACCAAAGTTCAGATCGATTCCTCCTTTTTGGACAAGTTAGAGCAAAAAACTGTTCAAAAATTGATGACGCCAAATTTTTAAACTTCATTTTTC